CAGCAATGTGCGTGCAAAAGGCAGCCGATCAATGTCTCTCCCCCTCTCTTTCTCCCTCTCGCCCTTTCTATAAACAAATAAATAAAATATTTTTAAAAATGTACAGAGGGGCTGAATAAACTTTCCTCCAAAGAGGACATACAGAGAGCCAACAGACATAAAAAGATGCTCAACATCACAAATCATCAGGGAAATGCAAATTAAAACCACAATGAGATATCACCTCACACCTGTCAGAATGGCTGTTATCAATAAATCAACAAATAACAAGTGCTGGCAAGGACGGGTAGAAAAGGAAACTCTAATGCACTGTGGGGTGGGGGCAGCATAAATTGGAGCATCCCTATGGAAAACAGGGTGGCTATTCTCAAAAAGTTAAAAATGGAGCTGCCATACAATCCAGCAATCCCACCTCTGGGTATTTACCCAAAGAAAACAAAAACGCTAATTTAAAAAGATATATTCATCCCTGTGTTCATTGTTACATTATTCATAGTATCCAAGATATGGAAGCAACCTAGATGAACAGATAAAGAAGATGTGGTACGTATATACAATGGAATATTATCCAGCAACAAAAAAGAATGAAATCTTGTCATTTGTGACATGGATGGACTTTCGAAGGTGTATGCTAAGTGAAATAAGACAGAGAAATACAAACACCATATGATTTCACTTATATAAGGAATCTTAAAAACAAAAACAAAAACAAATGAATCAACAAAGCAGACCAAAGCAGTGTCGTAGACATATATGGGGGCACTAAATAAATAAATATTCAACAATTCAAAATGCTATGCTCAGGACCCTCTCTTGAAGAATTTACTAGAGAATGGGCTTATCTAGCTAACTGGGGAAAAGGGGAAAACTCAGAAAGCTTTATGATGGTGAGAATTAAACAGATTAAGTTGTAGATCTCCAACTAAAATACAGATAATGACAAGGGTGAAAAATAGTATGAAATTTCCTTTTTGTAGAAACAACATGACTAAAAAAATAGTCATGTTGGAAGTGAGGAGAGAAAGGGGAAAAGGACAACATAACTGAGTTTTATATAAGTAATAGAACGCAGTCAAGATACAGCTGAGAAACAAAATAATATAGCTCAAGGAAAAGGAATTTGAGGACATTAGGGAAGATACAAGCATACAGGAGCAACTGGAACAAAACAAGGAACATCACTAAACACCAATTTTAAAAGTAAATTTTTTGTTTTGGGTTGGAATTTTTGTGTGGTTTGTTTTTTAGCACTTACTTACTTTTTGGCACTACGAGGTACTCTGGGGTTCACCTCTGTATTTCCTGCCCCAACTAGCATTTCTTCACGGAGCACCACTTCCTGGTGGAAAGGGCACTGAAAATACCCTGGAAACCCAGTCGCTTTGGTGTGTTGGGCAGGGGAGGAATTTCAATACAATAATCTAGGCTGATACTGGGAAAATGAAGCTGGGACAGAGGCAAAAGGGCTGGTGAGCGCCCGCAGGTCTCGAACCACCGCTCGCAAGCAAGGGTGATTACCGAGCAGTTTGTGAATCGAAGTACCCGCTGAGCTAAAGCCAGCCCGCGAACGACCTTTAGATTATAGTCTCTTCACTGCTGAGGTTTATTTCGCAATAGAGTCATCAAATGCGAAATTCATGATCGAATCGTCCAATTAACTCTTCCCGCAACTTACCCCCCGCCCCCTCCGTCCCAACCAGACACTTGGCGAGTGCCCATCTGAGAATACTCCGCAAGGAAGACTCAGGTCTGCTCTAAACCCCTGGTGAGCTCTTCCGTCATTGCTTCCAGCCGTAATGCCTCCGAACACGCAGCGGTCACGTGGTCCACCACGAATCACTGGACGCCTGCTCCAAACTCAGCGATCCCGCAGACAACCACACGAGGTCACTGTCTGATCAAAGCAACTTACAATGCCCAATAGGGACTGCAATCAACAAAGCTACAAATTGTATTTCAGGCCTTTTCTTGAACTTTGCAGCTAAACTAGATAAATCCTACAGCTCCTCTCCCAGGTGTTCTATAGCATTATTTCTTCTACTATTTTTTAGTATTTTATTTTTATTTATTTAAAATGTTAACGCTATTACAATTGTCCCAATTTTCCCCCTTTGCTCTGCCCAGTTCCGCCCTTGCCCTCCAGCAATCCCCACCCTTAGTTCATGTCCGTGGGTTGTGCATATACCTTCTTTGGCTTCTCCATTTCCTATGCTCTTCTTAACATCTCCCTGCTTCATACCTACCAATTATGCTTCTAAACCCTGAGCCATTTCCCCCACACTCCTCCATCCTCCTCCAAGCTGATAAACCTCCAAATGATCTGCATATCTATGATAATGTTCCTGTTATGCTTGTTTGCTTAGTTTTTTTTTAGATTCAGTTGTTGATGTGAATTTGTTGCCATTTTATGCTCATAGTTTTTATCTTTTTTCTTAAATAAGTCCCTTTAACATTTAGTGCAACAATGGCTGGGTGATGATGAACTTCTTTAGCTTTATCTTGACTGGCAAGCACTTTATCTACCCTTCCATTCTAAATGATAGCTTTGCTGGGTACAGTGATGATCTAGGTTGTATGTCCTTGCTTTTCATCACTTTGAATATTTCTTGCCAGTCCCTTCTTGCCTGCAAAATTTATTTTGAGAAATCACCTGATAGCCTTATGGGAACTCCTTTGAAGGTAACTCTCTGCTTTTAAGATTATCTTTAACCTTTGACATTTTAATTATGATGTCTTGGTGTGTTCCTCTTTGGGTCCATCTTGTTTGGTACTCTGCTTCCAGAACTTGGATAGCTATTTCCTTTGCCAAATTAGGCAAGTTTTCTGTTTTTTCAAATGTTTTAAATCCCACATTTAAGTTCTTTTATGTGTAGTGTAAGTAGCTAACCCTTCTCTTCCCAATTACTCTTTTCTCCATGAATTTTACCATGTATAATGTGCTACTGTGTATAATGCACAACCATGTTTTTGTATTATATATATTATGCTCATGGTATGTAATCATATCTGTGTACATTGCATGCAATCTTTCAAAAAGTGCACATTATACACGCCAAAATTCAATAAGCAATTAAGAATTTCAGTGGGTATCCCTCCAGCCCTTTTCCTTAATCTATGTATTTAACTGTACAATTTAGTTTTATGCCTGGGGGGGTTGGTCTTATTGGGGATTAGTTTGTTGGATGATTTCTACATTAACTGTGTCTTGGAGACCTTTCTCATCAGTACATGCAGATCTACTTCATATATATTGTAATAGCTGCTTTATAGTCAAGTATAAATGTACCAGTTTTCAATGTTTTGCTGTTATAAAAACAAAATTGCAGTAAACATCCTTTTATGTATATGTTCACATAAGCCAAGTATGTTTTTAGGAGACTAACTGGATTAAAGATCCTTCACATTTAGGTTTTTAGAGGGGTTATTGGAGGTACCTGAAGCCACAAAATTGCCTGAAACCACACTGACCTTTTGCTCCCTAAATACTATAAATGGCCATTCTGCCAGAATGTAAATTCTGCAACAGTTGTGGCCTTGATAGCTCACCCTGTAAGATACTACCAGGGAGTAACTGAACACATGTAAGCCAGTCACGGGCATCTCCCTCAACCAGAACGCAGTTTCTGTGGATTTTAGAGACCATAAACATCAAAGAAGTTTCCCTGCCAGGGATTTGACTTCTCTGGGATTGTTCCTGGCTCCTACATTTCCATCCCATCTCCCTTTTCCTTTTTCAGCTAACTATTCTGAGTCTCTCCAAGTACCCATGATCTAGACAGGCCCCTTGGACACTCAAACCATTTGCCAGTCCCAAGAGAATTTAAGGGAATGTGAAATTTAGAATTGCTTTTTAGTGGAGGTGGCCAAAGATAAGGTTCCACTGTACCCACTTGGTTTCCTGAAGAATGAATACTGAACCATGAAACTCAGCTCACCGATAACCTTGTCCAGCCTGCCTTCAATGGGGGAACAAAAGGACCCAGTCTGTTAGGTTAGATTCTTACCCAGGACCTGTTCAGCACACAATCATGACAAGGAAGGTACCCCATTAATCAACCCACAATTGGACAATACTGTATATCAAACTTTGAGCTGGGCTTTAAGACACATTCAACAGTTCCCAGTGACAAGATTCAGCATTAGAAAAAAACAGGGAAAAGACCTATGGCACAGCAAGGGGACTGTGTATAAAATTCCAAAGGAAAGAATACAGTACTTTGGGGGACCCATAGGTGGTATAGACACCACATAAAGTATTTCAGAGAACTACCTGGGACAGAGAACGTAAACAAGCTATATGGTTGCAGCCTTGCTACCCCAAATAGAGATGGCTTTTCAGGGTACAGAACCAGCTAAAGTAGTTAGGTAACTTATGTTTGCTTTAAGGTAAAGGACTCATTTTTTTTTTCCCTTTGCATCCATGGGATCTGCCATAGCACCCAATCCAGGAATAGCAAAGTTGTTTTTCCTTTAGTTAACCAATCTACGCCACCTAATTCTCAAGTTAGACCAAGGAAGGGAAGACAGCTTCTCAATGATTCTCAATGGGGCTGGAAGGAAAAATTTCACCTCCCTTCCTCCTGGGGGCAGGCATCTTTAGTTGTCATAATTTGGGAAGGTGATGCTACTGGCATCCAGTGAGCAGAGGCTAGGGATACCACTGATCCCTGTGATGCACAAGGGAGCCCACACAACGAATGTCGCTAGTGCTGAAGTGAGTAACCCTGTGCCTAGCCTCACTGAGGTAGTTAGGAAAACACTGAGTTCAACATGGAGCTCTGCTGTTCCTGAAACAAGGTCAAAGCAAACTACAATTACAGGGAACATTCTGTTCAGACTCCTCCACAGACCCTGTCAGAGGAAAGTACAACTCATGCCGAAGGAACCTAGGAGAAAAAGTGACAGGGCTCAAAGGGAGAATAAACTCTCTGTGGAAATCCTCGGTGTGTGTGGAGGAGGGGGAAGAAAAAAGGAAGAATATGGAATGTTCCCACCAAATGTGAAATAGGCCCAGTCAATGCATTTATTATACAGGTTGAACAGCCTCTGAGACCCAAAGGCTCCCACATGAGGGTTTTTTTCTTTTTTCTTTTTTGCATCAAACAGGTTCTTCCAAGAGCCTGCTTATAAGGAAGACAAAAACAGAGTAATCCTCAATAAAATAAAACTAACAGAAAAAGCTGAACAGTCTACATATGAAAAACAAAGGTTAAAAGACTTACCAGATAAAAACCACACCAAACACTCATCCCATTTAATTTCCTGTGACATGCACTGAGGAAACCAAGAATGTCAGGACCCACGGCAGCAATGCTCTGAGGTTCTAGTTCAGGCTCCCTCTAGGTGACAGATTCATGCACACACATCCGCGCATACCACTGACCCAGGCAGAACACGTGCATGCGCAGGTGGCTAGGGAATCACAGTGGGGGATGAGGGAAGTGGGGGTGGGGTGGCTGGTCAAGGATATGGTTTCAACTGGAAACTGGGGACCCAGAGAACCTTTCTGCTTCAGGCTAAGCAAGAGTTAAAATTAAAACAAAGGCAGAACACAGGATAAATGTAGGATGCTCAGAGAAGATTGGCTAGGTGAAGAGGGAAGATGCAGGGGAAGTTCTGGGAAAGCAGCCTCAAAGGAGGAGGTTTTTCTTTATTGGGAACTCAGATGGGCAGCGGTCCTGTGACTCGTGATACACTGAGGCTGAAGAAACACATCACAGCATTACCTCAGCCTCCTGCGCTCTCTCTCAAGGTAGAGGGAAACGACAAACACCCAGCCACTAGCCCTCCCCACTGCCACTCTTAAGCACTTTCCCAAGTAACTCCCCCCAAATTACACCCCCCACAAAGTTAAGCCCAACGAAGGGCCAAGCTTAGAAAGCCTCAGTAACTCTTCTTGGTGGAACCAAAGCCAGAGAAGCCCATCACAGCTGCCATCTCATCATCCTCCTCAAATGTCAAGTCCTCCTCAGCCCTCCTTTTCTTCTCCTTCTGTTTCTCTTTCTTGTAGGCTTTGGCCTTTTCCTCCTAGGGGGGAAATCACTCAGAATCAGTTCAGACTTCTCAGCCAAACATTGCTGAAAGAACAGATGAGCTTCAAGATTCCTTTCTATTTTTAGGAGAAAATAGTTAAAGACAAGTAACATTTCTAAAGCAGAGGAAAAGTCACAGTAAAAAGTATAAGGTTTAAGAAGAAGTTTTAGGCTGTGGAGAGCACTTCTCAAGCCTACGTTCCAGTTCCTTTGTAGTTCTTGAACATGGTAACGGGAGCAAAACCATACAGTAGCAACCGCCATGCTGGGGAATGCAGTACATGCCAGGAACTAATTGAAGTGCTCTAAGTATACTATATACTAAGATCTCCGATATGAGGACACTGAGGCACAGTTTATATAACTTGCCCAAGAGTCACAGCCTGTAAGTGGAGGACACAGAATTCTGATCCAGCAAGCCTAGTTCCATGAGCCTCCTGGAGACCAGGAATATTTACTTAATCCCGCCTGTAGTAAAAACATATGGCCTAGCCCTAGCCAGTTAGACTCTTCCAGATACACCAAGGTTGGGGGTTCCCTCTCCATTCAGGGCACATACAGGAAGCAACCAATGAATGCATGAATGAGTGGAACACCGACAGATCGAAGTGTTCCTCTTTCTCCCTCCCTCCCTCCCACCACTCCTCTCTCTCATCAAAAGTAAATACATTAAAAAAAAAAAAGAAAGTATGGCCCAGAGAACCCAGGAACAAAACACAGATTTAGAGCCATTTCCTTCAGCTCCTGAGAGTCCCAAACAAGGGCAATAAATGTTTCCTCTAATATACAAAAATTGGGAAGACCAGACTATCCTCTGGAGGTGGCCTTATCTTCTACTATCCAGGCGCATCCTCAGTGGAATGAGAAAAATCAGCCTCCCCATGACTCATAACACAAAATTCCAAGCTGGGGGAGGGAGGAGGGCAGGATGGCAGAGCCTTACTTCTTCTCTGAGCTCCTTCATCCTTTCCTCAAAATCATAATCCTTCTGCTTCTCTTCCATCTTCTTCTTATTGACTTCAAAACGTTTCTTCACCTGATCCAAAGTGGAACGTTCCACCCGCATTGACATGCCCAGGTTTCGCTGATCTGGGTGGGGTCAACAATGGGGAAGGTAAGGTCATTACAATAGCCTCAGCCCCTCAAAAGTCTTTTCCTGACTATTTTTCTGAGAAGTTTCTTAAGAGTTTATTGGAGCCAAACTGATGACATATGCCAGGGAGCAAAATCTCAACTGCTCCTTGCTGACATTTTTTAAAAAACATCTCATAAAACACAGAGTAAAAATAATTAGAGCTAATAAAAAACTCCCTTGGCTTTACTTGTTCCCAGAGGCAGCAGCCACAATTAACAGGATGCAGATGGCTCTAAGCGTCCCTTACTGAGCAGACGCATGTCAGCGGAGACAGCTTAGCCCAGAAGACCATGGTTTGGGCTTGTTGAGAGGCTAGGACAGTGTCTCACTGCGTGGCCTCCAGAAACATTAGATAAAGAAGTAAAGGATGGCCTGCATTGAGGCAACTGGAGAATTCCCCAGGCATTAAAGATAGGGCTTAACAGAAACCACCTTTCCCCCCACCCTCCACTCTAAAGCCTGACCCCAGCAACAGTCACTAACTCCCAGCCTTACGTTTCTTTCCATTAATGTGATCCAGGAAGTTGATGGAGTCCTTCACAACACAGTCACAGACATTGCAGTAATATCTAGCAAACACAAAGAAATGGCACTTGAGTCAAATCTGGCTGTGCCCTGGCTGGGTAGCTCAGTTGGTTAGAGTGTTGTCCTGATACACCAAGGACAACAAGGACAACAAGGTTGTGGGTTCAATCCCTGGTCAGGGCACATACAAGAAGCAACAGATGAGTGCATAAATAAGTGAAATAATAAATTGATGTTCTTCTCTCTTCCCCTCTAAAATCAATAAATACAAATTTTTTAAAAATCTGGTTATAAGGACTGTACTGTTTTCAACCAAGAAACTTCTATTTTTAGGTAAAAAGTCTTTTTAGAAGGATGCACTTCTCATTTCCACCTGAGCTTTGGCTCTTGGAAAATCATGGTAACTACCCCCAAGATGGCCCCACAATGATCCCCACCCTCCTAAAATTTCTACCCTGGGTAGTCCCCTCCCAATTCATACCACAGCTAGGCTGTGTGACTAACAGAGTATGTCAAAAGCAATGCTATGTCACACCCAAGAGTAGGTTATTTTAAAAACATGGCTTCTTAGTCTGTCCATGTGGATCGCTTGCTTTGATGTGAGAAGAACGATGAAGAGGCCCACAGAACAAAGAACGAGGCTGCCAAACCACAGCCATGTGACAAAGGGTGGAAGCAGATCCTCCAGCTCCACTTATACCTCAGACAAACACAAACCCAGCAGACACCTTGACTATACCTTTCTGCGAGATCCGGAGCCAGAACCAACCAGGTGAGGCTTTCCAAGATTTATTACTCACAGAAACTGTGAGCTATTTGTTGTTTTATGCAGCTAAACTTTGGGTTAATCTGTTGATTAACATAGCAACAGTTTACTAATATAGAGAGGAATGGCAACAGTGGATTTACTAAGCAGCTCAGCAAAATGTCACTCTGCTATCTGTGTTGCCCTCCTGCTGGAAAATCTAACTCAACAAAACAATGGGCAAAAGAGTTCTTATAGAACTCCTCTTTCTATAAGCTACAGTCTCGGTCTAGGAAGAAAGTGCACAACCAGGTAATCCACAACAACTACCGCCTTTACAGCTGGCCTGGAACCTTTACTGGCTTGGTTCGTCATTAATAGCTCCTAGGCTCTATTCTAAGTCCACCCAATTTCTTCTCCAGAAATTTCCACAGTAGTCCTCTCCTTCTGACAAGAGAACAAATTGTCCCTTTTCAAGTAGTAAGAAGTAGTTACAGTACTAATATGAAGAAGCCTAAAAAGTTACCCCTCCTAAAGATGTAATGTTAATCTGAGCTTTGTGAGACAAAAGAAAAAAAAAAGATAAATCTAAAAATGGGATTACAAGCAACAAGGCTGTTATCCTGGGACTGGGAACCCTTCTCAACACTTCCTAAAATCAACATAATTTATTAGACCTACTCCTGGCTACAGTGAAAGATGAAAAGCCACTCACCCTCCCATCTCAGATTGTGGGGTGGTCTTGGTAATGACAATGGTCTTCCCAAGCTTCGATTCCAGGTCCACCTTGTAGTCCCTATGTCGGAGAAGCTCCCGCTTGACTGGCTGCACTGGTTTTCCTGAAATACAATGGGGAAAGAAGTTCCTTCAATATTGCATTTCCTTAACTGGAAAGAAAAAGAAATGAATGAAACCAAAATTCAGAGGTTTACTCTCATTTTTTTTTTTTTGAAACCTGAAGCAACAGGTACTTCTAGGAAGAGACAGGGAGAGTGAACAGGAAAAATGACAGGGAGAGTGAACAGGAAAAATGGTAAGCAATCCTTAAAGCACTACAGTTTTTCTCCACTTTAAGACCAACAAGTCTAAAAGCAATGTTTTTTATTCATTGATTAACTGAATTGAAGGAAGATGTTTTCACAAAAAGCAACATTTTAAAAACTATTTTATTTATTTATTTTTAGAGAGAGGGGAAGGAAAGGAGAAAGAGTGGGAGAGAAACATCAATGTGTGGTTGCCTCTCATGTGTCCCCTACTGGGGACCTGGCCTGTAACCCAGGCATGTGCCCTGACTGGGAATCAAACAAGTGACCCTTTGCTTCACAGGTCCGTGCTCAATCCACTGAGCTACATCAGCCAGGGCTAAAAAGCAACCTTTCAAAAGAAGAGCAAGGACACTCAATAATGTTTTCAGAAACCCCAAACATAACACACAATGGAATCTAAGAGCTGGGGAAATTTTTAAACAGGGGACCAACATTTAGGAATTACCTGTTATGTGCCAATTACTATTATTATATAAGTTATATAAAAACAAAACAAGTACCCTGGCTAATGTGACTCAGTGGATTGAGCCTGTGAACCACAGGGTTGCTGGTTGGATTCTCAGTCAGGGCACATGCCGGGGTTGCAGGCCAGGTCTCCAGTAGGGTATGCAGGATTGGCAACTACACGCTGATGTTTCTCTCCCCCCTCTCTCTCCCTTCCCCTCTAAAAATAAATAAATAAATAATTTAAAAGAACGAAACAAATTAGTGTATTTGAGGTGATGTGAAAGTGGAAGAATGTACAAGTTTGAAAACATGAAAAAATCAAGTATTTTTCTACAGTGCAATCTCTAAGAAAAGGTGCACCAACTCCCTGACACTGTTTAATGCACAGAGAACTGCACTACAAAGCACTAGCAGAAATAATCACACTTCCCCCAGCCTGTACCCTTGCTCTTCTCAGACTATAGAAAAGATTTTGATTAGGCCAGAAATGTTCTTCTCTCTCTTACGTAATTTCAATAGAAAGGGGGAGGTCTTCAATAACAGTAATGCACAAAGAGCAAAATCTTTCGATATCACCCTGGCTGGTGTGGCCCAGTGGATTGAGTGCAGGCCTGTGAACCAGGGGTTCACCAGTTCAGTTCCCGGTCAGTGTATATGCCTAGGTTGCAGGCCAGCTCGCCAGTACCAGGAGCTCGAGAAGCAACCACACTTGTTGTTTCTCTCCCTCTCTTTCTTCTTCTCTTCCCCTCTGTCTAAAGATGAATAAGTAAAATCTTTTTAAAAATCTTTTGATATGTCACCACTAAAGTACCAATTCTCTTCAACAAAGTCCTAAAATGAGCCAAGCAAAGGGAGAGCAAGGAAGCACTGGACAACAGAACTGGAAAGCACCTCAAAGTCACTTCGGTTCACCTCTTCGCCCTCATTTTATACATTAAAAAAACAAACAAAAAAACCCGAGGACTAGGAAGGCTGCGCTCTGCCAGATGGTAGGACAGTGCATTTCGATTCCCCACCGGCTCTCCAGCCACTGCATCGCCTCTACGATACCCTTGGCCTCTGAGGGAGCAGGCACCCACCATCCTTCTTTTCTCTCTCCTCCGTGAGCCTCTTCTCAGCGAGCTTTTCATATTCATCTTTGTCCCACTTTCGGCGAAAGTCCAAGTTTTTTGTCTGTGGAGATAAAAAGCCCGCAGGATTCGTCGCTAATCGTGTCCGACCCCTAGAGAAACCAAGTCATCGCCGGCAAGGCGGCCCCGGGACCTGTCTGCAGAGAAGCCTCTCCGGGCCGCACCGGGAGGCTGAAGTAGCTAGCCTCAGGACCCCAACCGAGAGACCTCCGATTCCACTGACCCTGCGCCAGGGCGTTACAGAGGAGTTCTTGAACCCCGGCCACAGAGTCGCAAAAAGGTGTCAAGAAGTCTATCTGGTGCAGGACATTCCGCGCTGAGAAACTACCCCTTAACCTCCACCCGCCTCAATCCTCCTACTTTACACAACACCTACCCCACTGCCCGACGCCATCTTCACCGCCAAGTGAATGGGAAGCCGGAAAATGCCGTAAAAAGCGACCTTAAGCCGTAAAGCAAGCTTATCCTCCAATGAGCTTAGAGTCTCGCGTTCTAAAGGAGCTAGAGACAGGAGGGCTTTTAAAACGGACTTGTCGGCCCCGCCTCGGCTCCCAGATAATGGCGCATGCGCAGGGTTACTATGAAGCAACACGGAAGTAAGGGCTGTGGCAAAGGTGGTTTTTTTTTCCCACCCCCTGGCCTTCAAAACAGCCATCGAAGTGCTGTTCAACTCATCTATATTACAAACGAGGAAACTGAGGATCAGTGACCTTCGGTCTATTTAACTTTGCGTACATTGCCAAGAGTTCTAAACCTTCTTTAAGGCTGAAGCGCTGTTATTAAGGCCTTCAGATGCCCCATTTACCAGAATGCACTAAAGATATGACCCCCTCCCCGCCCACACGGAAGTGTTCAGAAAGGCTGCAAGCCTGCCCAACGCACACGTGGAGCTGCTTTTTGCACTTTTGTCTCATCTTCAAGCAATGCTATCACCCAATGGTTAACTCATTTTTCCCTCAACTGAGGATTCTAGTCAATCTATAGGGCAAAATTTATTTACATGATTGGACTTGGGTAGGCCACTTATCAGCAACACTCTAGGCCGGAAGAACTCTGGCAGATGGCTCACTGTACGTTGATTTAGTGACATGAGTGCATCTTCAAGTTGGGGGAGCAGGGTAGAACTGAGGCTGATGTCTTCATTGCACAGGGAGAGAATCACCCCAGGGAGGTTACTCCTTGATCAAGATTGGGAATCTCCAGTGTACACTCAAGCACTTTGTACGGCTTATGCAAACCAATTCCTTGAAAACAAACTACCCAAACTATTACATTAAAAATTTTATTTAATATATTATCCGGCCACTTCAGGAACAGCCACCTCCATGGCAGGACATGACATAGAGCAGTGATTCTGGCACACAAAATGGTCTCCAAAATCTTGAAAGATGAGATCTCCATCTCGTCAGGTCACCCATTAAGTTCAACATTCAAGATGATGAAACAGCCTCACCCTGCTATTGTTAATGACCGGATGGGCTACAGAGCTGCTCCATCAATATAGGCAACGCTATACCCTTGGAATAGCATCTCTGTCCTCCAGATAGCAGGATAACAAAGCAGATAGCAGCCATTACCCTGCCTTTCTGTCTCCCCAAAATGTGGACAGACCAACAGCAAGCTGTCAACAAATTCTCAGAATCTGCTTCAGAAGTCACAGTAGAAAGCCAAGTATCTGACTTCTCATCTCAATGGTTCAGAATCCTCTCAGCCTGAGATGACTTTCCTGGAGCCTTGCTCACAGCAAACACCTTAGCACCTCTTAGCAGCATTCAATGGTAGCAGCATTCAATGGCCTTTGACATCCGCCTCGGCAGTGAGAGCATGTCTCTTTCACATACTAGCCATTTGCGCCCAGGCAGAATAGCTGCTCATAACAGCCCAGGAGTCCTCAGGGCCTTCCACAGTTCTGTACCCAGAACAGATGGTGGAGGCAGAGAGAGGCACTTGTCACCCATCCTGGCCAGCAGTTGTGAAATCCATCAGGAACTCAGTCCTAGAGGAAACATCTTCTACGAGGAGCAGCAGATGGCAATCAGGAAAGGATCAGGACTTGAAGAGCCGCTTCTGAATTTCAGCCACAAGATTTTCCCGTTTAATCGCCACCTGAAACATAAGAGAACTCTCATGTGACAAACTATAGAGGGACACTAGCTCCTCAGCCAGTGCTTTTCCAGATTTACCTTACTCTATATCACTCCCACTACTCATGGAACCAGTAGTAAGTAGTGTGGGCTTTAAGTTTACCTGGAGAATGTATGTCCTCAAGATTAAAGGGATTCAAATGGCTGATCTGTGTCTATTTTGTTAATTAGTCTCCAAATACCAATTGAAATTTCATTTGTCCTTCTGCCTACCCAACCAGTATCATTGGCTACAATGGTTGCCTGGGATGGGTCTTCATTCACCTCTATCACCATTAACCCTGGAGGTATTTCCTCAGCCAGAAACATACTTCTTAAAGAATCTAAAAAAGGGAGCAAGACTTGGTCCCTTCTACTTCTGCCTGTCCCACTCACCTCTTCCCTGCTGGCCACTGAACGGAGTTTGAGGACCCCTTCCTTCAGTTCTTGCTCACCAATAATGACTACCAGTGGAATGCCCGTGTTCTCACAGTAGTGCAGTTGCGTTAGCAGTTTAGGGTTGTTCTTATATAGCAGCTCTGCCTGAAAAGGATGAAGGTAGAGTAGGGGATTTAGAAATGACCACATCACTCCAGCCGGAGGAATGAGCTTTTCCAAAGAAATAAGTAGCCAGCCCTCCTACCCTAAGAAGACACTCTAGGGAAGACTCTAAAGATCTTCAGTTCCACCCCAGGCCTAAAGTAGAAATGGGCCTGGTGCCTGAATTCCACAAATACATAAGTGGTTTGGATATTCACTCTACCATACCTTGATCCCAGCATCCCAAAGCTCGGAAATTAGCTTCAACCGTTCCTGGAGAAAGTTCTTCTGTGGAGTAGCCACAAACACTTGGGTCTCTGTGGTCCGTATCTTCTCACCAAAAGTCTGATAAAAGACCCAGGTAAAATTAAAAAAGAGAGAAGTAAAATAAAAACTTCAAACAACAGGACAAAAAGAATCATCAGAAAAACAGTCCAACTGCACCCCCAGAAACATAAGAGTTCCCAGGCCTCCAGCCCCACACCACCCCCACCAAAGACCTACCTTCATCCTCTGCTCCACAATGGAGAAGATTCGCTCCACCCCAATGCTGAGCCCCACACATGGCACCTTGTGACCCTTGGGGTTAAACATGCCCACTAGCTCATCGTAGCGCCCACCAGCAGCCACACTGCCCACATTCAGGGGCTCTTCCTCGGCCTCGGCTGGGCTCTGTAGCAGCACTGCTTCATAGATGACTCCTGTATAGTAGTCCAGGCCCCGAGCCAGGCTTAGATCAAAGGAGATCTGTGGGAACAAGGCTACACTCAGTACCAGACAAGACTTAGGACCCCGAGAAACCCAGGGATCAGCAGGAGGTCCACACCAACTCGATTTACCTTCTCTGCAATTCCAAATAAAGTCAGATATTCATAGAGTAGCTTCAGGTCCCTCAAACCCTCTAGGGCCTGCTTGCTCTGAGATAGTCCAGGATCCTGGAACATCTGCTCTACCAAGGACAGCCCACCTGGGAAACATGTGAGGAAAAATAAGGTCTGTGCTGTTCATCCAGATGTTTCATCCAAATTTATCCCTAGTATGTTCAAGCTAGTCCTCCTCATTTTCTTAAAACAAAAAAAAAGATGCAGATCTCACATGACCAAACTCTCCTCCTCTGCCTCTACCTTTGCCATCTGGAGATATAACACAGTTACGATAAGTAAAAGGGGAATTAAATTCAGGCAGGCTCTGAAGCTTTGCACATCTACAGAAAGCTGCTGCTTCAGAGGTATTAAGTTGTACACATATCACCCTCATTCTGATTCTATCGTACAGCTTTGAAACTCTGGTTCTTACCATGACACTGGACATAGTCCCCAATTCGATCAGCCACTTCAGGAGCCAGGCCTTTCTGTGCCACCATCTCATGTCTCACCTCCTTCCAAGATATCTGCACAAATACTGAAACATGAGCACAGCGCCACGATCTTCCTTCTCTCGCTGGGAAAGGACATCTCGCTTTCATTCAATATGGATGTCACCCGTAGGTAATGCTAAACTCAGCAAAGTCAGAGGCAACTTGGGAAACCCAGTCACAATCCCTACCACACAGCAAAATTCAGATCTTTCTCCCCACTTTCCTCACTTCCAGCCACATGTCCTTATTTTTCTCTAGGGATACAGATTTGAGGGCAGGGCAGAAACTCTGATAGGGTCTACTGAAGCAGGTCTTCTTTCTTACCTTGTCTAGTTTGTCTATGGAGGAGCAGGTGGTGCGGAACTTGCTTTCAGGAACACCACAGATGGCAAACATCCCATCCAAAATCCGCCGGTCATTGACCTGTAAACTCCATGGAAGTAACCCAAGTGCCTTGTCAATGCCCTTTCTCTCAAAACCTTGATAATCCCTACTCTCCTGAATCATAAAAAAGATAGAAAGGAAATTTCACAGGATGACTATATAGATATATATGAAATGCAACAGCTGTTCTAAGGCCAGTTATATGCCAGGGAACTAATTGAAGTGCTTTAAGTATACTATATACTAAGATCTCCAATATGGGGACACTGAGGCACAGACAGTTTATATAACTTGTCCAAGAGTCACAGCCAGTAAGTGGAGGACATAGAATTCTGATCCAGCAAGCCTAGTTCCATGAGCCTTTTGGGGACTAGGAACATTTAATTAATCCCTCCTGTAGTAAAAAAAGAACAGCCCAACCCCAGCCAGGTAGCTCAGTTGGTTAGAACATCATCCTGATACTCCAAGATTGTGGGTTTGATCTCCATTTTAGGATAGCCTCAGGCCAAATCCACACTTCTCCCCTCTGTCCCCTCCCTGACCTCACCTTAATGAGAAAGTCCCCCAGCTGCAATCCACTTAGGATCTCACACATGATCTTCAGACACTCTGCATCAGGGATCATAGGGTCAAAATGACCAGCAATGTCAAAATCCTACAGCACAGAAAAAGGCAGAAAAAAAATGCTCCACTGAGCAGCTGGGTCCCAGGTTGTAGTTGCCAGAATTATCAAACCATACTGTCCCCAAAAAACAAAACAAAACAAAAAAGCACATGCTGTCTCCTTCAGGTCACTTACACACTGGCAGAACTCCCTGTAGCGGCCTTGGACCACGGTTGGGCTCTCCCGCCGCCATACCTTTCCAACATGGTAGCGCTTCATCTTCTTCAGTTTATTCATGGCCATATAACGGGCAAAAGGGACCTCACATAAACAGGTTAAGGAGAAAGGACACCACACCCAAAGCTTAGGCCCAGTGTAAGGACATTAGGGAAGACTTGGCCTTTATCAATCAAATCTCATCCACTAGGAAGAGAAGAAGCACTTTCTCCGTCTTGTTTCCCACTATCCCAAGGCCTAGCATCACTTGGCATTCAATATACGGGGTGGGCAAAAGTAGGTTTACAGTAGTGAGTACACAGTTTTTTCTTGTATTATTTATTAACTATTGTATTATTTATTTGTATTACAACAGTAAACCTACCCCTGTATATCAAAGAGTGTCAAATGAAAGAGTCCCACCTAAAAAACTACAAGTTTAGTAGAAAGAGAGGGAAGCAGAGATAGAAATGATCCAAGAACTTCAAGCCTAGGCCATTCCCTCCCATTCGGATCAATGCTCAACCATCTCAAAATAGTCAAGCTTCAGAACCTCGATCTGCCTACAACTTCCATATCAATATTTCTTAAAGTGTAGAACAAAGACCACCTGCATCTTAATTACCCTGAACCCCACTCCAGCTACAGGATTAGGAATAACTGGATCTGGAGGCCAGAAATCTGTGTTTCTGCAAGTTTCCCCGAGGGATTCTAATACACATTAAAGTGAAATGCCAGTACTCCAGGCCAAGCTCTGCTGGCAGAATTGCCTTCTGGGAGAAACTCAAAGTAAACCCTGCTGCCAAGAGACCTACAGAGACTCTCATGCCTTTTGTCAGACCAAGCCCTTCCTTTTGAAAAGCAGCAAGACAGCCTCCAGCACTCAGAAGGATACAGTGAGGTCATAGCGCAGGGACAACAGCTCTCCCCCCTGATCTTTCAGATCATAAATGAGCCCAGAGTCCTCCCCATACTTCTCGGTGAGCATGTCCTGCAGGGGTCAGACAGAAAGTGCCACATTTCAAAGGAGGACTCCAGAGCACAGGCTAGAGCCCTTTGGGAAACTGAAGGCGGGCGAAAAAAGGGAGCGCTGGCACTTTTTCTCCACCTACCTTTAGCTCAAATGCTGGAGTATCCAACCCTTTTGCTCCATGACGTTTAAAGCAGCTAACAATTACATCAAGTATCTTCTCCCTCACAACAATCTGCTCGGGACTAAGATCTCTGGTGCCCTAAAACCCAAAAGCAGCCATGGTGAAAACAAAGACAAAAAACAAGTCTATTTAAGACAAAGAGTTAAACTACATCTGGAATCTAAATTGTGGAGTTGAAATCTCTTTGAGTTCAGATAACTTAAAGCACCAGTACCTCAAGAATAGTGATGATTTTTTTTTTCTTTTAGTCTAAACGGATGTTCAAAGGGGTCAGGAAAAGACAAGCAAAACAGAGGGCAGTCCTCCCAGGCACTCTAATGAAACAGGGTGGGGCAAAGCCAATTACCTTGGGGGTCTTGATAACCAAATTTGATTTCTCTTGATGTGGTTTCAGTTGGGATGTCAACACTGCCTCTGCAACCTGGCAGAAGAAATGTCGGATGTGGCCCGGAGCAAAAGGAAGCCTGAATACTATTTATCTATCCCAGGCTCAGCCCCACTCCAAAAACCCATGTTGTATCTGCAATATTATATATGTAATACCATACAAGCTTTGTCTGAAAAAGTTTAAGTACCCGAGAACACTGAAGGCAAAGAACAACCCACTACTACCATCACCAGCCCTCTAAGGGTAGGGATTAGTGTGACCTTTTCCAGGTCTCGGTTCCTATTCAAAGGGTGAAAATAAGAATTTTTAATAAGGTAGCAATGAAAAAATACGAAGACAGAAGAGAGCTAGCCTATGGACACAGAACATGCGTTGGAATTAAAAGGAATGGATTTCCTGATGGAACTAAAAAAACAGACTGATAGGATGCTATGACTGAAAATTAACAACAAAAGATCTGAGCCTTGTTGTTCCTGATAGGATGAAGCACCTACTATAAAGACAATAGGGTCTTTCCTAACATAAAACAGAATCAATGATTCTGTATTACCAGCAGGTTGTATGACTTTCCAGAAATATAGAGGGAGTGGTAGTTCTATACTTTGGTGGCTTCTCTCCTCCAAATGCAGGCAGTTCAAGTCCACAATCCCTTCTCTGCAATTCCAAAATCCAAAAATCTCAGAAAACCGAAAATGGTGTGGGTCTTTTCTTTTTTGAGACTCATCTTGAGATAAATTTGAATATGAACTGTCTACAACTTATGGTTGCTAATCATCTCAGTGGGAATATTCATATGTTTTGCTTAAAAATTTTTGAATGTTTGACCTCAACAGGTTCAAGGGATAGTGGACCTATATTAAAACGCTCCCCTACTACGTATCCACAGGTAAATCACTTGACCTTGCAGTCTGTTTCCTTAACTGTAAATTTGGAAATAATATTCCCAACCTCCCAGGATTGCTATGAGGATTAAATGACCGAGAATCTAAAACGCTTAGCTCCGTACGTGGTGGGCACTCAGTAAAAAACCAATTCTGTTACTACTCGAGTACATGCCGGGAGTTCAGGCTTTCAGATCTGGAGATCCTGCCCTGACAGAAAGGCGCTATCTCAGGCTGGCTCACCTGGCTTTGAGAATGGACCGCCCGAATGCACACAACACGCGGAGACCGGAGAAGCTGGCCAAGCAGCGCAGCCCAGACCCTCCCATGCAGGAGTACGAGCTGGGGCATCGTGCGGCAGGAGCCCGGCTTTCCAGGACAGCAGGCAAAAGACCTAGGAACGAGGCCGGTCGGACCCCAGGAGGGGGCGCACAGTGTTGTAGAGGTAAAGCCCAAACTCCAGGGAAGTAGGTGAAACGATCCCAAATCCCGCAAAGAAGTCCCGTCCTCTAAGGTTCCCTCTTAGCTTAGGCACTTCCGGCAGTAGCAGGAAGTGGTTGTTGTGCACGGCGGAGGCTCTCTAGGTGTGCAGGCCAGCGACTCGATAGCCGGAAGTTATCCGAGCTGAAGCTTTGGCCACCACCATCAAGCGTGACATCAGTCCTCTGCGGTTAGCAGCCAGAATGGCAGGGCGTGCAGCGCTGGAGGAGCTAGTGCGACTTCAGGGAGAACTTGTACGGGGACTGAAACAGCAGAAGGCCAGCGCCGAGCAGGTGCTGCCCAGGCGGCAGGGAAGGAGCCAAAGCAAAGCCGAGGAGGCCGTTGAGCTGGGGTGGTCTGCACAGAGGACAGGAATGTGAGGGAGAAGGGATTTGGCTGGTTGGAAGAAGGACAAGCTAGGTTGGTGAGGTAGGCCGGGGTAGTACCCGAGAGAAGCAAAACTAGGCCTGGCGAGAGAGGTCTGTTCTGGATCCTGAGGGAAGGATACTGAATGAATGGCGGAGGGGGGAGGGGAGCAGCAGATGTGATGGCCCAGCGCCGTTTTCTCTCCACAGATCGAAGAGGAGGTGGCAAAACTACTGCAACTGAAGGCACAGCTGGGCCCTGATGAAGGGAGACAGAAGTTTGTGCTCAAAACTCCCAAGGTAAATATTCCTTTAGGGAGCCCGCTCCCCCGAAACAGGTCACACTTAAGATTAATGATCTGAAATGCCCAGAGGAAACAACAGTTGCCGTGGGCGCCAAGCTGGATTAGACTGCACCTGAGTCATTCTCGGATGGCAAAGTGATGGCAGAAACTAAGCCATTTGGGTGCTTATGGGGGGGGGAGGGTCCGCCTGCAACCACTACTCCTTTCATTCACTGAATACTTGTCCAGTGTTTACCATGTGCCTAGCACTGTACAAACCAATGAGTGTGGTATGATGAACAATGTAGCCTGTTCTCATGGAGCTTACATTCTACCGAAAGAAACAGACTTAATACAAATAAACCCACACGTGGGTGTGAAATTACAAATTGTGATAAGTGATATAAAGAAATAATAAGGATGGTCTGAGAAAAATAGGGAGACCTGGGGAATCTGAGAAAGCCTCACTGAAGAGATATACCAACTGACCTAATCAATGAGTGGGAGATATCCAGAGGATGAGTATGAGGAAAATAGATCCAGGTAGACACGGAAACTCTGAAGCAGGAAAGAACCTAGGTAGTTTCCAAGAACTAGAAAAAGACCTGTATGACTAGATCCAAACAGAGGAGAGTGGAGCGGGGTTGGAGATTCCTAGCTCAGCCTCCAGAATTTCAGTCCAGATGCCACCTTCTGTAACTTCTATAAACAACGATTTATCCCTTCATCTGGGTTCTCTTGCACTTTACATATATCTCTATGGCATTTATTGCTGACTTTTAGTTATTCACATGGTTTATGTAGGATGAGAGGCTGAGTCCAGGGACCTGCAACTAAATAGCTATTCAATGAATGTGATGTGAAGTCAAACTCCAAAGGGGAGGATTGATGATCTACCTTCCTTATGTTGAGGTGTCCCCTTTTCTTTTTTTTCAGGTTAATTCTTTGGGCTCCTAAATTCATTGAGGAATTCCTCATTTCAAAGGTTAAGGAGACAATGTAAAATCCCAAGGTGAAAATATGAATGGGGAATTTATGATAGGTCAGAGTGGCCTCACCTAAACCCAGTGATTCATTTTGACATCTCTAAAAGTAGGACAATCAGACATCCTCCCTATGTGATGCAATAAGAAGCACACAGCACCACCTCTGAAGTATTCTTGCCAAGAAAAACTGATTCTGAATCCAATCCAAGTCTTCAGACCTAACTATCAGTTTACCGGAAATATTGGAGGTGGACAAACACGTTAAATGACACTTGGAGTGTATTGTTAACCAAATCTAGAATGTGAACAGTTCCTTAGGACAGAGTACTCAATTTCCACAAAAATTAATGACATACTCTTAAAAAGGAAACTGTTGTAGATTAAATAGACATGAGCCGTATCAACCAAATACAACACATGGACTTCATTTAGAATCTGATTCAAAAAAGCCAACTTAAAAAGATATTGGGGCAATCAGAGAAAATTAAACATGGATTGGGCATCAGGTAACAATAAAGGGTTGGTGTTAAGTTTGTTGTTGTTTTTTGGTTTTGGTTGTAATGAAGGTAGTGTTGGGGTTTTTAAAATATTTTATTTATTTATTTTTAGAGAGAGGGGAAGGAAAGGAGAAAAAGTGGGAGAGAAACATCAATGTGTGGTTGCCTCTCATGTGTCCCCTACTGGGGACCTGGCCTGCAACCCAGGCATGTGCCCTGACTGGGAATCAAACCATCGACCCTTTGCTTCACAGGCCCATGCTCAATCCACTGAGCTACACCAGCCAAGGCTTTTTTGTTTTGTTTTGTTTTGTTTATCTTTATATGTTAAAGAATCATACTGAGCCCTGGCTGGTGTAACTCAGTGGATTGATCATAGGCCTGCAAACCAAAAGGTTGCAGGTTTGATTTCCAGTCAGGGCACATGCCTGGGTTGCGGGTCAGATCCTCAGGGGGGTGTATGTGAGAGGCAACCACACAATGATGTTTCTCTCCCTCTCTTTCTCCCTCCCTTCTCTCTATAATAAACCCCCCCTTCTTCTAAAGATAAATAAATAAAAATTAAAAATAAATAAATAAATAAATAAATAAATAAAATCTTTTAAAAACTTATACTGAAATACTAATGGATGAAATAATAAAAATTAGTATCTGGGATTTACTTTAAAATACTCCAGGAAAAAAATGTTGGGGCTTAGATAAAAATAACAGATGTTGATGATAGTTGAATCTGAATAATAGATACATGGTGGTCTATTGTACTGTTTTGTTTTGTTTTGTTTTTTAAGAGTTTATTTATTTTTGACAGAGGGGAAGGGAGGGGGAAAGAGAGGGAGAGCAACATCAATGTGTGGTTTCCTCTCATACACCCCCCACTGGGGACCAGACCTGGCCTCCAACCCAGGCATGTGCCCCAACTGGGAACCAAACCAGCAACTTTTTGGTTCTCAGGCTGGCGCTCAATCCACTGAGCCACACCAAGCAGGGTTGTTTTCTATAATTTAGTTTAAATTTTTCCATAATATAATGTTTTAAAAAATAAGATTATACCGGAGAGTTAATATTCAGTTTAGTTTGTTGAAACACATTTTTAGGAGATTTTTAAATTAAATGTACTGGGGTGACATTGATTAATAAAATTGTATAGGTTTCAAGTGTATGGTTCTAGAATACACTATCTGCATTTAATACATCTGTATATAATACATCAGTGTGTGTTTACCACCCGAAGTCGAATGTCCTTCCATAGGAGGAGATCTTAACACAGGTTTCTCTGAAACACATTTCTTGACATGTGATTCATATAATAACAGAAAACTCAGTATCATGAGGACAGTACTTTTTCAGGGTCCCTTCATGGTCAAAGTTGTTTTCAAAATGTTAGTTGTCCTTTTTCACTTCATTTGCAGTGAAGGTACAAGAGCACTGGCGAGCGGAACTGCTGGCCGTGTCTCAGCACAGAGCAGGAGGACGGCACTAAATTGTGCTGACAGCCGTACATTCTTTAATGTGCTCACAGTGAAAAAGAAAATCTGTTTCCCTAAATGTCCTCGATAAAACTGTAAAAATTATTAATTATTGAATCGCGACCCTTGAGTACACTCTTTGTTAATACTCGCTGTGATGAAGGGGGAGGTCCCCATGAAGCACTGCAGCGCATTCCACAGCAGGAGAAACACGTGTGCCCTTAGGTGAGTTGTGCGCTGAACTAGCTGCTTTCTTCACAGGACACCTTTTTTATTTGGAGGATAAACTGTTATTTTAAAGATTAGGGGTATTTGGCAGATATTTTCACAAAAATAAATGAGGTGAGCCTTGTCACTTTAAGGAAAACATTTCACAATATTTGTTGTCAGTGATAAAATTCAAGTGATCAAAATGTAAGTTGGAATTTTAGAAAACTTCTGTCTTCCACCATGAGCTTGACAGCTTCCCAATACTTAATGACTTTCCTGAAAAGACCTATGGTGATATTAACAAATCTGGTTTTCTAATATTGTATAATGAAGTGAGTGTACCAACATTTGGAAGATCTGTGTAACTTATCAATGCACCAATATTTTCCAATAACCAATGTATGATGTTATAAAATCATACATGGATAAAAGATCCAGTCAAAATACAAGATAAGAGTAATAGATATTTTTAAAATTGTGATAAAATATACATAACATTAAAATTTGCCATTTTAACCATATTTAGGTATATAGTTCAATGGCATTAAGTACATTCGCATTGTTGTACAGTCATTGCCACTATTTATCCCATAACTCTTTCATCATACCAAAGCAAAATTCTCTACCTCACTAATCAGTAATTCCCCACTCCATCCTCCCTTCAGCGCATGGTACCCACTGTTCTACTTTCTGTATGAAATCTGGGCACCTTATGTAAGTTATGGACTTTAATGTGACACTGAAAAGTTCATTGGTGTAGTTGCAGTTCCACGTTGCAACCAATCTTTAAAAAACGTACTTTCACAAGAATATCTATAGTTTGCTTAAAAGGTTAGTAAAATATTCCTCTTTTTCACAATTATGGTACACTTCTGTGGAAGACTAGATTTTCCTTATATAGTCAACCAAAACAGTATTTTGCAACAGAAGTGAATGGGGGGAAAAAAAGCACCTATGAGAATCCAGCTGTTTTCTTTTAAGCCAGGCATTAAAGATTTGCAGAAATGTAAATCAGTGCCACTTCTCTCACTAATTTTGTTGTTGTTCTGGAAAACAGTTACATTTCCCTAAAAATATGTTAACATGTAATGGATTTACTGTTAAAGGAATTAATGAATATTTTTTAAATGTTTGCTGTTTTAATTTCTAATACAATAAATATCAGTAGGTATACTAAATAAACAGTAAGAGTGTACAGAGGTCCTGAGATCAAAGATTCAGGGTAAAAGCCCAAACTAGAAGCTATTACCTGGAAGAACAG